CCGCAGCCCCCGGACCCGCAGGGCCTGGTCCGCGCGGCCCCTCCACTGCCCCTCCTCCACCCCCTGCACGTCCCCGGCCCCCCGGCCTGCCCTCCGGCCCTCTGGCGCCCCTTCCAGGACGCCTCTTGCGTCCCCTCCAGCCAGCACCGCGGCCCTGCTGCTGGAGGCACTGCTGTCCCCTCCGGGCCCCACGGAGCCTCCCTTGGGTGGCGGCCTCAGGCCCCAGCAGCCTTCCCCACCCCACCACCCAGGGCAAGCGCAGCCCCTGTGCTGCGGACCGAGGGACAGGCCAGCCCACCCTGTCCCAGGGCTTTGCTCTTGTCCCGCTGTGCCTGGTGGGGACCCAGCCCACCCCGAAGCTGCAGGTGAAAGACCCCCGCCCGCCCACAGAGCTGAGCCCCCTGCAAGGGGGCTGGGCGTCCAGCTGGAGATGGCCAGCCCTTCTGGAGGCTGTGGAGGAGGCGGACAGGGTCCCTCGCCTGACACGCTGGGGCCAGGGGAGGGTGTGACGTTCCGGGGGCATCTAGACACCAGCTTCGGTGGGAAGGGCTGGGAAAGTGGGCCGAGCTGCGCACTGGGGTGGCTGGGCTGCCCCCTGGCCCCGAGGGCCTTCCCAGAGGGGGACCTGGCACACTCACTGGGCAGCAGTGATCTCCAGTCCAGACAGTGCACACCCTCACACGGCCCCGCCCAGTGTCCCGGATGCCTGCCCATTGCACGAGTGAGAACACTGAGGCTGGACGTCTGGCTGGATGCAAAGCCCTCTCTGGCTCCCTGCTGTCCTGGGCCCCTGTGGGGGAGATAGCTGAGCTGTTGGCCAGTGACCACGGAGGGCTTCCTTGAGGAGGAGGGGTCGGCCGTGCTGGGCATGGGCATGGGTGGAGGCGGCGGGGGTGAGCGCCTCTGCTCCCCAGCTAGCTGTGCTGGGGACCTTAGCTCTGCCCCAGTTCCTGCTGCACCGGGCAGGTTCATGCCATGGAAGCCAGTTCTCAGTTATTACGACCCTGGAAGAGGTAACGGGCAGAATATTCACACTGGTGCCCGGACGTGGTTAGTGCTCGGAGATGTTAATTATTGTGAGGGCCAGTATGTCTGAGTATTACTTTAGTTTTAGTTTTCAGTTTTTTTGAGGCAGGGTCTCACTATGTAGTCGAGGCTGGCCCTGAACTCACTCTGCTGTAGCCTTGAATTCAAAGCGATCCCCAGCCCCAACCTCCCCGTGCTTGGAGTGCAGGTGTGTGGCACCGTGTCCAGCTATGGCAGTGCATACCAACCGGCCAGTGTTCCTGTCCTCTGGCGATGACCTGTCCTATGTCCCCCAGCCAGGGCCCCGGCTGCCCCAGGGGCTACACTGGCCTCACAGGCCTCTTAGGCACTGCCTCCCGGCCCCACTCTCCACGACTTGGGAGGTACAGCGGGTTGCCATGGCAACACTGTGGCTGAGGAGGGTGGCAGGGGAGGGGTCTGTCCCATAGAACCCACCTCTGCACTGCCGGTGGGGGTGGAGCCGGGCCCCGGACCCGCCCGGGCACCAGAGGCCAGGAGGCAGGGGCCTTGGGGACACGGGTCTGGCACCCACCCGGACTGGAACTCGTCTGGTTTCATTACCTGCTCCCCGTGCGAGGCTCTTCGGGCCTGGCTTCTCCGTCTGTGGGACGCGCCCTCGAGTCTGTCCCTCCACGCACGGTGGCCTGGGCCCGGGCAGAGCCAGGGCAGCCCCATCAGCTCAGCGGGTTCCACGCCCACCCTCTCCTCCTCAGGGCACGGCGCCCAGGATGTCTACCTGCCCGCGGCGCTGGAGCTCCTGGACGCCCCCGAGCACTTCCGCGCACAGCGGGCTGGTCACTACCCACCGGCCAACTCCTCTCTGGGCTCCCGGTCTGAGACCTTCCTGCTTCTGCAACCCTGGCCCAGGGCCCAGCCGCTCTTCCGGGCCTCCTACCCACCTTTCACCACCCAGCAGGTGGGAGCGGCCCCGGGTCCTGGGGTGCAGGGTGGGCTGGGGTCCCCCTCCTAGCCTGCTCCTCCTTCAGGTCGTGCCTCCTCAGGCCGTGGAGCCCCCGCGCCGGCCGGTCCCGTGGGACGTGCGGGCTGTCTCCCTGGAAGTGGCCGTGGCCCCGGCGGAGCCCCATGCCCGCGTCCTCTTCCACCTCAAAGGGCAGGACTGGCCGCCAGGGCCCGGAAGCCTGCCCTGCGCCCGTCTGTACGCCACGCACCCCGCGGGCACTGCCCACCGTGCCTGCCGCTTCCAGGTGAGTGGGCAGCCTGGGGCTGGTGCTCGCTGCCTGTCCTGGGGAAGGGGTCTGTCCCTCGGGGTCTCCTGTGTGCTAAGCTGGGCAAACAGTGCCCGCAGGACCCTGGTGAGCCTGGCTGGAGCGAGGGGTGAATAAGAGGGCAGTTGTGTTGCAGGGCGGAGTGGTCCTGCCCCGAGGGGTGGCAACATGGTCAGCGCTGTCATTTTTCAACGTAGTTCTGTTATTCTTCTGAGACAGGGTGTCGCTGTGGAGCCCAGGCTGGCCTCAAAGCAGTCTCCTGCCTCAGCCTCCCTGAGTGCTGGCAGTTACAGGCTCAGGAGCCAGCACGCCTGCTCTTAGCATTACTTTTGTGATTTTCTTTAGGTTCTGGGGTCAGAACCCAGCCTTATGGTCCCAGCACGTGTGCTGCCCCCAAGCCATACCCCAGCCTGTTGGGGTCCTGTCGGGCTGGTAGGGGGCTGTGGGTGGGGGGCACGGCTCAGGCTTAGGAGCCCAGGAAGGAGCCTGAGTTCTGGGCAAGGTCAAATGAGCGCCCCGTGTTCTGAGCCCGAGGGGATCCGAGGCCCAGCACGTGCCCAGCTTGAGTGTCCTCCGGGACATGTCACCGGGGTTTCTCCTGCTGGGACACCACCAGCCCAGCTGACCACGGCCCCTCGCTGTCCCCACAGCCTGCCCTCGGTGCCTGCGTGGTGGAGCTGGAGCTGCCTGCACCCTGGTTCTCACGGAGCACCCCCTCACGGGCCGCACTGGCCTACATGCTGGAACCCACTGCAGAGGGCCCTGGGGGCTGTGCGCCTGGCGGGGACCAGGACCCCGCGCAGCAGGCCCTCCCCTTGGGGAGCGTGGAGCTGCGCCCCGAGGACCCCCCACAGCACCAGGAGGTGCCCCTGGACGAGGCTGTGACCCTGCGGGTGCCCGACATGGCCGTGCGGCCGGGCCAGCCGTTCACCGCCACCGTCTTGCTGCGGCACAACTTCACGGCCGGTGTGCTGGCTCTGCGGTGAGCACGGGCGGGGCTGGCTCTTCCCTGAGCCCTCACTCCACAAAGCACGGGGCCATCAGAGCCTGCGGGCAGCGAGTTGTGTGCCCACGGGCCTGCTGGTGATCACCCAGGCCACCGTCCCACGGGGCTGACATGGCAGTGGTCCCGAGGGGTCCTCAGAAGCACAGTGGCCGGGGCCGCTGTGAGGCCCCAGAGACAGTATGTGCCCCGCGTGCCCCCTGCCTGTCCCTCTGCCCTGCTGGCCACGCTCACCCAGGGCCCAGGCCCCAGGCCCCGGCAGCGCTGCTCCTCTCTGCAGGATCACCCCAGGGCACCCCCGTGCCCCCAGCTGACGAGGACAGCGGGGTGACCCGCCTCCCGCTGTGGCTTTCTGTATGTCCCCCTCAGGTGTCCCCACCCCTGCATGCTCCTGTCCTCGTGTGGACACAGCAGGCCAGGCCCAGGAGGCCGAGAGGAGCAAGGCCAGCCCATTGGGCGCTGGGGCGCCCCATGGCAGGAAGGGAGCTGCCCGGGCAGGAGAGCCGGGGCCCGGGGCCCCCCTTGCGTGAGGGTGAGGTGCGCCAGCCTCGGTGCAGTCAGTGGTGGAGGAGCAGACAGGCGAGGTGGCCGAGCGGGGACTCGCAGCGGCCTTGGCTGGCGGGCGAGGTGTCTGAGAGCGGTGAGGAGGAGGTGCAGACCGAGGGCTCCCTCCTGTCCCCAGGATCAAGGTGAAGAAGGGGCTGCAGGTGACAGCCGCCCGCCCGGTACAGCCCGCGCGCTGGACGGCCAAGCTGGACCGCGTCCGGGGCTCCAAGCACCACAGCACTCTCATCACCTGTCACCTTGCGGGGCCCGCAGGGCCAGACCCCAGGTGGGTGAGCGGGGAGAGCGCCAGGGCACTGGCGGGCAGGAGGGTCAGCCCAGGGCGAGGGCCCGTGCCTAGGAGGAAGCACCGGGCCGCGGGTCTGCTCACCCACTCGTTCTGCCACACGGCAGGAGCGACCAGTGTCTGAGACCGTTCACGGCCCCCGTGTCAGCCGCCTTGGCCACGCTCCACCCTGCACCCCGACAGCCTTTGCCAAGGCCGTTACTGCACCCAAAGAGCCCCAGCAATAGTGCACGTTTGTGAGCTCCCCTTGGGCCGTGCCATGGGCCCTTCACTTCTATCTGGACCCTGGTTCTGGTATCTGCTGGACGAGTAACTCGGACAAGCCAGCGAGCCTCCCCACCCCAGTCTGTTTCCACCTATAGGTGAGGGTGATAACGCATCCTGAGGGCTGGTCAAAATAAAACAGTTGGCACATAGGCGTTTGGTCAAAGGGGCTCTGAAGCTGGGTGTGGTGTTGCACGCCTGTCATCCCTGTAGTGTGGAAGGCTGAGGCAGGAGAATCTCAAGTTTGAGCCGAGCTTGGCATTTTATACTGAGACCCAGTCTCAAAATGAAAAATAAGAAAGGAGCTGGGGATGCAGCTCAGTACAAAGGCCCTGAGTTCCAGCCCCAGCGCCACAAAGAAGAGAGGGGCGGCAGTGAGGGTCATTCAAAGGGCCGAGTGGCCTGGGGCTTGGTGGGCATTCTTTCTGGGTGGAAGGCGGCACCAGGCTTTGCCAGTGGCCTGAGGCAGCAGAGGTCCAAGTGAGGCTCTTCATGGCAGCACTGCCACCTTTGCCGTGTGACCTTGGGCGAGTGGCCACCGTCTGCACTGGTCTCCGCTGCCCGCTCGTGAGTCTGGGAGTGCCCGACAGCCAGCTCGGTGCTCTCTCCCTGGCAGCAGCGCCCCCGAGCTGTCCGAGTTCCTGTGGGTGGACTTCCTGGTGGAGAACGGCACCGGCGGGGGTGTGGCAGTCACACGACCCGTCACCTGGCAGCTGGAGTACCCGGGCCAGGCCCCCGACGCAGAGAAGGACAAAATGGTGTGGGAGATCCTGGTGTCCGAGCGGGACATCAGAGCTCTCGTCCCGCTGGCCAAGGTAAGGGGCGTGCGCCCGCAGTCCAGATGGCGGCGAGGCTGGGACTGACGTCTGCCTCCCTCCCACAGGCCGAGGAGCTGGTGAACACGGCGCCGCTCACCGGACAGCCCGGCCGCATCCCTGTGCGTCTGGTCACTGTGGATGCCGGGGGCGCCCTGGCAGAGGTGACGGAGCACATCGGCTGCAAGTCGGCCGACACGCAGGTCCTGCAGGTGAGGACACACCCTGTCCCTTCCCCAGGGACCCACAGGCCTCCCAGCAGAAGAACCGGCTTCCAGCCTATCTCATCAGGTGGGGCCCTGCACCCCAACTGTGGGCATGTTCCTGTTAGGGACTGAACGCAGGGCCTTCGCCCTGAGCCACATCCCCAGCCCCTTCTCTTTTACTTGGAGAGTAAAAGTTGCCCAGGCCGGGCTCGAGCTTGGTGTGCTCCTGCCTCAGCCTCCCAGTGTGCTGGGATGACGGGTGTTTCTCGCCATCTGTTACCAAGTAGCTGTGTGATGGTGGGCAGGTCTCCGCCTCCCTGAGCCTCAGTTTCCTCGAGTTTACCTCGGGTGCCTTTAGGGTGTGAGAATTCACAGCATCTAGAGAGCACCCAGCAGATAGCAGAGCCGAGACCTCGGCAGTGGCTGCTGATGTAAGGCGGTGCTTGTGTGATAATTATTAGTATTAGAGCTTTGTAAGGTTAATAAAACCAAGGTGGCCTCCTGCCCCAGTTCCTCCGGAGGTGGCAGTGAGCCGCAGATCATAGCCGGCCCTACCGGAGGAAGGTCTGTCGCATGCCAAAGCCGCCTCCCCAGCGAGTCGGAGCCTGCAGCCTGACCTAGGACACCTAGGAAAACCTGGGTACCCCAAGAACAGGGGCTCCCCAGCCAGCCGAGGGAAGCGCAGAGCGGAGCTCTAGTTGACCCTGCTGGTGGCCAGGGTCAGGATCCCCTGTTCTCGCCCAGCCCTGCCTCTCTCCGTTGCCCCCAGGTGTCCGAGGCCTGTGACGCGGTGTTCGTGGCCGGCACCGAGAGCCGGGGCGCCAAGGGGGTGCGGGTGGACTTCTGGTGGCGCCGGCTCCACGCCTCGCTGCGGCTGACAGTATGGGCCCCGCTGCTGCCCCTGCGGGTCGAGCTGAGCGACGCCACCCTGGAGCAGGTCCGCGGCTGGAGGGTCCCGGGCCCGCCCGACGACGGGTGAGTGGCGGCCGGGTCGCCGCGCCTCGACCTCCCTGTTCTCCCTGCCCCTCCTCTCCAGCCCGGGAGCGTCACCCCAGCGTCTAAGCGGGCACAGAACTAGGGCGCACAGGTGGGGCCCCCAGGCCCTCGCGCCCGCGCCCCTTTCCCCTTCCCCAGGGCTGGGAGCAGCCAGCCACGCCCACCGGGAGCCGCTGGCGGGCAGGGTGCGGCCCCATTGGCCGCTGTGGGGGCGTGG